TGGTATGTAAAAAGCGGAATAGAGAAAAAAGAACCAGTGACCAGAAGCCCATCAGGTTAAAAGGTAACATGGTCTCGAGAGTCTTTTTTGAGCATGATTGCGGCCACTCTTGCGACAGATCCTTGTGCCAGGTATTTTCCAATTGCCCCAATTTAGTGGCCCGCCACTTGTCCCCGGGTTTTTGTTACCCTACATTGCCCATCTTGTGTCACCATTACTTGTCTCGGGTTTTGGGGGCAAATTTTTTTCCCCAGTCACTTTCTAGCACTTTATCCCCAAGAGACAAGTAGTGTTGCAGTTGCATTTTGTTCCATGTGGATTATTTTTGTAGGCATCACTTGTTCAATACCAAGGCTTAACTTTAGATTGTTATTGTTTACACAAAAGTGACAAATTTAAAAAATTTTTTTGGGCAGTTCGGTTTGATCGATTTGGAAACTTAGTCACTTCACCCAATACATATTGACTTTTTCAAAAGATGGAGAAGGGAGATTCAAAAGGAATTCAGTTTGGGGAGATCACCCTACATATCGACGGGAGGTGCTGAACTTCATTATCTGTTTAAGAAAAGGGATGAAAAATTTTAAATCTGATTAGACTGCTCATTTAAAAATTGGGCTGTAACATCTGTTTTAGCAAAAGTGATGAGGGGGGTTATTTTTTCAAGCATAACAGTGTTCCTGACACAGATCTTAATCAGATGCAGATTGCCCAGGGTTTTTAGCACCAAAGCTAATTTTACACCCATGAAAAATACGGGGATCACTGTTGTAGTATACCCTACAATAGGATGATAGTTTTATAATGTCTCAAAGATTGTTTCTGACGTTTTTCAGAAGTTAATAAATTCCCCAAAAAGGAGGAAAATATTTCTGATATTTGATTTTTCCGCCCCACCACTGAAACTTTGTTTATCTAAAGGGCCTGCGCATTGTTCAAAAAACTTTTCAAAATTTATTTAATTAAGCTAAACATTTAAAAGCCCCCTAAATCCATGAAAGTACCATGTAATATTTCTTTAACATTTTTAGTATGGTTTGTATGAGTCACATCCTTAATGAAAAAAATCAGCTATTATACAGTATTGTAAAGTGAATTTTTTTAAATACGTTGGAAAATTTAAAAAAGAACAGAAGGTGGTAGGGCCTTTTATAGTGCATAATATTTAATTCTGGATGTAATTTTCCAGTCCGGGAAAAAAAAAAAAAACCGTACGGAGGACGTTTTAAAAGAGTGACTGCGAATATTTTGGAACATGAATCATGAGATTTAATAATCTCGTTTTTAATTTCTGCCATGTAAAATTTTTTGTTGTAATCTAGCCCGGGTTTTCCTGGGGGGAGAGTTTCGGGGGTTTAACGCCCCCGCGGCCCGGGCGTGACCAGGCCTCCTGGTGGATCAGCCCCCACAACCGGCTGTTTCTGTGGGGCCCCGCAAACCAACGTACGGCCAAACGCCCCGGGATCCGGAATGCTTTGGTGCTTGTCCATGCCCTTGAAGACGGCCCGGGGGGTTGGTAATCCCCTTATGTTGCTGGGGGGCAGTTTTTGAACAGTCTCGGGCCCCCCCCCCACACTTATTGATGGTCTCTTAAGTGTAGTGACACCCTGCTTTTTTTGGGGGGATGGTGATCGTCTGCCAATCTTTTTCTTTCGTATGAGTGATTTTCGGTGCAAGTTCGGACAGTCCCCTTAGGGTTTTCCAGGGTAATAATCATGTATCTCTCCCTCCTGCGTTCCAGGGATACAGGTTTGAAACCTCAAGCGCTCCCAGTAATTGAGGTGTTTTATCTCCGTTATGCGCGCCGTGAAAGTTCTCTGTACATTTTCTAGGTCGGGCAATTTCACCTGCCTTGAAAGGTGCTGTTAGAGTGCAGCAATATTCCAGCCTAGATAGAACAAGTGACCTGAAGAGTGTCATCATGGGCTTGGCCTCCCTAGTTTTGAAGGTTCTCATTATCCATCCTGTCATTTTTCTAGCAGATGCGATTGATACAATGTTATGGTCCTTGAAGGTGAGATCCTCCGACATAATCACTCCCAGGTCTTTGACGTTGGTGTTTCGCTCTATTTTGTCGCCAGAATTTGTTTTGTACTCTGATGAAGATTTAATTTCCTCATGTTTACCATATCTGAGTAATTGAAATTTCTCATCGTTGAACTTCATATTGTTTTCCCGCATCCCACTGAAAGATTTGGTTGATGTCCGCCTGGAGCCTTGCAGTGTCTGCAATGGAAGACACTGTCATGCAGATTCGGGTGTCATCTGCAAAGGAAGACACGGTGCTGTGGCTGACATCCTTGTCTATGTCGGATATGAGGATGAGGAACAAGATGGGAGCTAGTACTGTGCCTTGTAGAACAGAGCTTTTCACCGTAGCTGCCTCGGACTTTACTCTGTTGACGACTACTCTCTGTGTTCTGTTAGTGAGGAAATTATAGATCCATCGACCGACTTTTCCTGTTATTCCTTTAGCACGCATTTTGTGCGCTATTACGCCATGGTCACACTTGTCGAAGGCTTTTGCAAAGTCTGTATATATTACATCTGCATTCTTTTTGTCTTCTAGTGCATTTAGGACCTTGTCGTAGTGATCCAATAGTTGAGACAGACAGGAGCGACCTGTTCTAAACCCATGTTGCCCTGGATTGTGTAACTGATGGGTTTCTAGATGGGTGGTGATCTTGCTTCTTAGGACCCTTTCAAAGATTTTTATGATATGGGATGTTAGTGCTATTGGTCTGTAGTTCTTTGCTATTGCTTTACTGCCCCCTTTGTGGAGTGGGGCTATGTCTGTTGTTTTTAGTAACTGAGGGACGACCCCCGTGTCCATGCTCCCTCTCCATAGGATGGAAAAGGCTCGTGATAGGGGCTTCTTGCAGTTCTTGATGAACACAGAGTTCCATGCGTCTGGCCCTGGGGCAGAGTGCATGGGCATGTCATTTTATCGCCTGTTCGAAGTCATTTGGCGTCAGGATAACATCGGATAGGCTTGTGTTAATCAAATTTTGTGGCTCTCTCATAAAAAATTCATTTTGATCTTCGACTCTCAGTCTGGTTAGCGGCTTGCTAAAAACTGAGTCATATTGGGACTTGAGTAGCTCACTCATTTCCTTGCTGTCATCTTGTTAGGACCCATCTTGTTTAAGTAGGGGCCCAATACTGGACGTTGTTCTCGATTTTGATTTGGCATAGGAGAAGAAATACTTTGGGTTTCTTTCGATTTCATTTATGGCTTTTAGTTCTTCCCGCGATTCCTGACTCCTAAAGGATTCTTTTAGCTTAAGTTCGATGCTTGCTATTTCTCTGACCAGTGTCTCCCTACGCATTTCAGATATATTGACCTCTTTTAGCCGCTCTGTTATTCTTTTCCGTCGCCTGTAAAGGGAGCGCCTGTCTCTTTCTATTTTACATCTACTCCTCCTTTTTCTTAGAGGAATAAGCCTTGTGCATACATCGAGTGCCACCGAGTTAATCTGTTCTAGGCATAAGTTGGGGTCTGTGTTGCTTAGTGTATCTTCCCAGCTTATATCGGTTAGGACTATGCACTTAGCAATATGAAAATATCTACTTTTAGGATGCTGTATGTGTTTAGTCGCCATGATATATTAGTCACAGCTTAAGGTTAATTAAAATGCAAATTGTTTTATGTCAAGTTTTTTCTTACAGGCTGCGGAAACTACTCGACCACCAATTATAATGTATCAGGTAAGTTTGTCAGCAATCATTCGCGTGTGTACATGCATTTTTTTCCACACACACACACATAATCTCACACACACACCACAATTATATATATATATATATATAATATATATAAATATATATATATATATATATATATAATATATATATATAATATATATTAAAATATATGATGGGGTCCACCCTTTGGTGTAAATTGTGGGACCCATAGCCTCGGAGAAGTGGATAAAAAGGCTTAAAGGGAAGAATATTTGGATTTCTTCCTGAAGCCGTTTGAATATTCCACTTCCCCTACCACCCCATCTTTTAATATATATTTTTTTTCCAATAGGAATATTTTATTACATAATATGGTACAGAAGATTTAAGAGATACATTGTTGATATAAAGGTGGCATATACGGTACATGTTGTTACGTGTGTATCACCGATTATAAGGCGAAAATCTCATCCAGCTCCTCAGAGCTGGGCGTGTGCCCAAAATACAGCAGGCATTACCCGTTTGAACAGCCGCACTGAGCCGCTGGAACAGAAAACTAGCTGCCCTGGATCCCTAGTTACCCTGATGAGTCTTTTTCCCCAGCTCCTTAAGGAATTTAGATGCATCTCTTTCCCCATGAGCCAAGGGTCTCTGAGCCTATGGGAACAAACATATAGTGATCGGAAAGTTCTCCATATTTTCTAGACTTTTGGGACCCCCTGAAGCTGGCAGCTGCCCCTCCTTCCCCCCTGGTGTATTGGAGATGGGTATCAGCCAAGGTAGATGCACATGTATAGTCCCACACCACCTGCTTCCCATCTGCCCAGGCTTGAAGGGTGATCCCTTTCTGGACGCTTCTGGCTGCCATCAGATCTGCATATTTGGGGGTGGCCCCCTTACTGCTGGGCATCCGGCTGTTGTGAGGCTCCTTTTGATAATGTTATTAACCTCCTCATGTCTTGCAATCTTTTCCTCGGATTTAGGGCACACAAGACCAATGGTACCCGAATCGGTCTGCTGCTCACTGCCACAAATACACCTGTGTTCGGCGAGAATAGGGCGGCAAGTCGAAGGCAACACCGATGTGATGGTCTGTGGGTCGAGGCGTGTGCCAAGGCTGGGTTGGGAACAGCCAACAGAAAGTCCCCAGCATGAGGGGCTCTCACTGCCAGGAGGCGGACTCTATCCTTCCCTGACACACTCTGAAGCATTGTTAAGGCTATATTTCTACTATTGGACCATCCCATGCGATTGTTTGTAGTTGTTGGGGGGCAGGTTTCTGGTTTCAGAGCCCGTTAGATTATCCCGATCATTGCTCCGTCAATGAATTTTTGGTCCGGACTCCAATCTTGCCCCTAAGATTTTCAGGGAGAATCGCTGCTACAAGGTCTCTGGGTGCAATACACAGGACAGAAAAGCAGGTAGCTCAATCTGTGATGACTTGCGGACACCAATGCCTCCTAGTCTGACTGGAAGCGTAGTTTGGGTTTCCCCACTGCCCGTCTTCTAGAGTAAGGTTAAGTACTTTCGTAAAAATCTGCCTCAAATTACTTCATATTCGTGCAGTATAGGGTTATCATATGAAGTTGCACATCTTAGGAAAAAATGTCAACCTGGGCAGACTCAAGCACTTTGTGAGAAGGTACAAGGCATCCGTGGGTGTCCAGATTGCCTTTTCGTTGTCCATTCTCCTTACTCTTCCAAATTTTCTTCCTGAGAATTGTGTCAATGGCATCACTTCCCAGAGGTGCTCCTAGCAAGACACTATTTGTGGGGCAATGACTGCTGCTCCTGGTAGTTTGATCTCACTGCATTTATCACTTGTTGACTGACTGAGATGATTTTACATTGGATGGATTCAGGGCGAGACCCATTTCCTGTCCCCGTGTCATTACCTGTGTAAGGTCATGTAGGAGGGACTCCTTTGTACCTGCTAGTGTGCCATCATCTAGGAACCAGATGTTTAGCTCGCTGGTCAGTCTGACTGGATTTCCCTTAACTGCAATACAGAAGAGAAATGGTGCAAGAGGATCTCCTTGTTGGGCACCCTCCGATGATGTGATTTCATGCTCTCCAAAGAGAAGCATTGATCCTTGTTATACCCGGCTGAAACAAAAGGGAAGAGACCAGGGAAATGTTCTTGTACTGCTGCTAATACCACGTCTCTTTTCAGGAGATTGAACGCATTCTTGAAATCTAATTTTACCACTGCATTGGCCCTCAGGCAGGTTTTTTGATATACGCCCTTGTTGCATGAACCGCTGCTTCACTTCCTTGAGAGACCCCAAAAACCAAGCTGGTTTGGTTGAAGCATCATGGCTGCCTGTGCACGAATACTTCGGACAGCAGCTTTGGATAAGAGCGGCGTAACGTGTTGCCTACTGCAATTGGCCGAATTCCTCCATCCTTCTTTTAAAGTGCACAAAGTGTTGCCCCCAAAAAAAAAAGGTCTAATTTCATCAGAATCAACCAGCCAAGGAATTGTTGACAACCTTGTGATCTCTGAAAGCAGTGTCTCTGCAATTTTCCCAATTACTGGATTAACCATTTCCTTTAAAAGCTGTGGCCCTTTTTCCAGTGTAACCCCCCCGGAGAGCCAGATGGGAACGACATTCTTGCTTTGTAAATGTCTGAGTCTTCCACAATCAATGGTTTCCATAGTGGGGACAGAGGTGTTGGGAAATGTTTGGTGCCACGTTTCCCTGGCAGGGTGCTTTCCCCTAAATGCTTCAGCCGTGTCAGCATCCCTGGGAGCAACTGTAAACATCACTGGTAACAATTCTGATTTTCCTCCACTATCTTGCCCCCTTCAATTTTCTTGCCCCACCTGGACTCTGACTTTTTTACTGTCAGTAGAGTGAGTGGGGTTCTGCCTCTCCCTTTTTGTGTTGACGGGGGAAAGGGGAATGAGGTTATCAACTCTAGGAAAAACTCTTAAGGATTTAATTATCATTGAGGCTAGCCTCTTTCCCTTTCTTTCCGCACAGCTAAGCAGACATTGCCAAAAAAATAGCAAGTTGTGCCCCATGCCTTGATGGTTGGGGAGCATTTAAGATAGTGGAGCCATAGTTTACTTTTTTCAGGAGGTCTGTAAGTTTCCCAGCTGCGTGTGACGGGCTGCTTTGGGAATATGTGTGAGTGTTCTGGTACCTTTGCTTTAATTGCTTCCAGAATGTCTGACGAGATGAAATCTGTTGAGTGGGTTCAGTGCCTGAGCTGGCTCTGGGTACACTTCCACAGGGGGAATCCTAAACCAGGGCAACTACCGTGTTTGCGGGGGAAAACCATTAGAGTTGAGACAACGAAGCTGTAAGCATTCCGACACTTGCTCTCCCAGTATTGACAGCCGTGCCATTTTCCCTGGCTGCTTGTTCCTTCCGGTTGGCATCCATCGCTAGACTAGACCCTTAGGGGTGGAATATGACATTTTCTGGGTGGTATGGTGCGTGGAAAGGTTAGTGAACTTGACCATGGGGCCTGGTGGAGTTGAGGGGCTGGGAGGGAAGGGAAAAACTTCCCCCGGGAATTAGGTGGGGGAGGCGCAGGTTGTTTTAGTGGGGTTATCCCGGGGAGTACAGTACACATGGACTTGCACACAATATTGTTCATACTGTCTTACAATACACATAACTTTATTTGTTTCCCATGTACACTATGAACAATGTGGGTATGGGCACTGCTGAACCAATGTGTTCACTCACCATCTAGTTATACATCCCACCTCTTCCACCCACCCCCGTGACTGGGGGTGGATGCACTGACTGTCACTCCCTCGTTAACATTAATTTCACATTGTTTTTCCATAACATAGCCTCTAAATATTCCATGCATCGATCACAATCATTTCCAAGTTTAACTGGAGCATTGTGCATGGTGCTGAATATATATAATATAATATATATATATATATCTATATATATATATATATATATATATTATATATATATATATATATATATAAGAACATAAGAACATAAGAAAGAGGAACACTGCCAGGAGGCCCTGTTGGCCCATACTAGGCAGGTCCTTTAACAATTCTCCCACTAAAAAACATTGCCCAACCCAATTTCATCCACCCAAGAAAAAACTCTGATTTGAAAGGTCCCACTTCCAAATCCACCCCTCCCAAATCATTACTAACCAACCTAAATTTGAAACTACCCAAAGTCCCAGCCTCAATAACCCAACTAGGTAGACTGTTCCACTCATCAACTACCCTATTTCAAACCATACTTTCCTATGTCCTTTCTAAATCTAAACTTAATCTAATTTAAATCCATTACTGCGGTTCTTCTCCTCTTGGAGAGACATCCTCAATACACTTATTAATATCCCCTTTATTAATACCTATCTTCCACTTATACACTTCGAATCAGGTCCTCTCCCTCATTCTTCGTCTAACAAGTGAATGTTAACTTAAGAGTCTTCAATCATCTTCATAAGGAAGATTTCTAATGCTATGTATTTATTTTAGTCATCCTACGCTGAATGTTTTCTAACGAATTTATGTCCATTCTGTAAATATGAGACCAGAACTGAGCTGCATAATCTAGGTAGGCCTTACTAATGATGTATAAAGCTGCAGTATGACCTCGGGACTTCTGTTGCTTTACCAACTTCCTTGATATAAATCCCAGTAAATCTATTTTGCCTTAATACATAACGCTTAGGCATTGCTGTCTTGGTTTTAAGGTTGCTGCTCACCATAACCCCAAAGTCCTTTCGCAATCTGTTGTGGCTAAGTTCTACATCACTAACTTATAAGTACTAGGTTTATGGGCCTCCCAAGCTTCAGAACCGTTGCATTTATCTACATTGAACTGCATCTGCCACTTTTCCTGACCAAGAAATAGAGCTTTTGTAAATCCTCCTGAAGTTCCCCATAACATCTACGTTTGAATCAATTATTCCTACCTATCTTTGTGTCATCGGCGAATGTTGCTCATATCACTAGTAATTCCCTCATCAAGATCATTGATATATATTTATTAAACATCAACGGCCCCAAACTGATCCCTGTGGAA